GAAAAACCATATGAGAATTTCTACCTCTCCAAGTGGCACCTATCTCAATTATAGCCTGGTCTATTTGACAATATTTGATTAATATTGAGTACAGTAATTATCCAGTACCAATATATATTTAATATTTAAATCCGGACATACACTGCGGGACTCGATTTGATGGAGAAGGCGTGCAACTGGGTGTGGGCAACAGATAATTTTAATGATGCTCAGTCTGCCATCGAAAATCAGTAGATGGTGTCGCATAGGTTCGTTGGCTGATGGTTGTTTAACCGTTGTACGACACTCTATGTGTGCCAAACTTAAGAATTTAATTTTTGCGATTGTTAATGCAGTTGCAAATTCTTTTTAACTCCAATTTTAGAAAGCTGTAAATGTTGAACTTCCACCTCTCCTGGGACTGTGGATGGAACGAGGTCATGAACTCATTACCGAGAATCTTGAATCATCTAGTAGACAACCCAGAGCAAAGTAAGTAAAATAATTTGATGCATACAGGAAAATTTCTGTTAATTTGCAGCATCACTAAAAGTTGTGACATACAGTTGGTGCTATTTAACTGTGTTCAGAGGGCCTATCAATTTGATTCAACTTCTATTGTTGTCCTATATCAAATACTCATTCAACAGCAAATAATTAATCCTGGTCATTCAATTTTGGCTAGTTATCTTCTCTTTTTGCCAAACTTACCACAAAATATACCTTCTTTGATGCAATATTGGAAGCAAGCTTATTACTGTGTCTATCACGAGATGACATTAATTTCATTTTTGTTGTGCTGTATTTTACAGGGGAAGAAAAAGCAGAAGTAAAGTTGGTCATCTTAAGTCAGATGTGTTTTCCTCCGAGCTCTGTAAGTTGGCTAAGTTAATGGAAAGCAAACAAGAAAGCCCAGTAGCCACTGACAAGCTCAAATTAAGGTAATAATGTTAACCATAAGCTTAGCCAGCGAGTTGTCCGGCCATCTTTTGGACGGCCTACAATTATTTAGGATGGCCACTTTTACCGAGACGGCTTGGCCTAATCAGCTCAGCCTAGCCTAATTGGGTCTTGTCTACCTTTAGCAAATTCTTTATATTCTTCAAATCTATTGAATGTTACATTAAACTAAAGCTAAATCATATTTACGTTTGATAAAAACAACATTTATTAATTGTATGTACGTTGTTTTCGTACTAATATTTGGTGGGGATTCCCAAAGATGGGCGTGGCCTGCCCATCGGCTCAGTGCCACGCCCACTGGCTCCCATTTTGGACGGCCTATTTCGCTTTTCTGGCTAAACTCCTGATGTTAACACACTTAAAACAAATGCTGCCTTGTTTAATCCATAAAACACACCTAGGTATGTTTAAATCATTGAATTTATTAGTATGCAGGACCAAATAAGTTGAATTGAATGAGGAACAATTTAGATTGACTGACTTCTTAGTAAAGTACAACCATTGTTATGTTGCTTACCACAAGCCGATGTACAGGGATGAAAATAGAAACTATTTTATTTGAAACCTCATTTCAGATATTAGAATTTGTTTTATTTACCAACACAGATCTTTAAAACATTAACTGTTTCTTATTTCCCTCGTGTTCTTAGAATATGTTTACTAAACCATTATTATTTTTGTACTTTGACAAGGTCCAGCAAGTCTTATGAAAGTCCCATGCATTCTAGAACTTCCACGCCATACCATGAAAAGCTCATAAACACTAAAGGCAAGCGAAAGAGTTTGAATGCTAGCAATGAACTATGGGGGCAGGATGAATGGTTCGAGGATGAGGTGTTTCTACGTCAGGCTACCCAAATTGAACATGATGTGTGCTCTCAGATTTGTAACGAAGAAAAAAGTAATGGAAATGACACAAAAATTAATAAATCAACTGTAAGACAGCCACAACAGCCTAAAACAGATTCCTTTTTTCCCAGCTACAAGACGCCAGTTACACGAAAAATGAAAAATGATAAGCTTAAGCCCCCTGCTGCTAAGAACATGTTTACAGGGGATAATTATGCAAACAAGACTGAAAAGAAACAGATTTGCATTGTTCCAACTGTCCCTCTAAAGCCAAGACAACTCCACGGCACGTTTCAGAACTCAGTGCGAATTGAATCAGAAAACATTGACTTGAATCCAAATAATGATGCACTCGCGCCTGTTGATACAGATGAGATCTGGGATGACCTGGATGACGATGAACTGGTCGGTTTAGAATCGGTACTTGATACCGTTTCTTTTACACCAAAGATATTAAAGAAACCTGATTGTCAGAGACCATCATCTCGTAATTGTTTTAGAATGACCAAGTCTAGCGCCCAGGTGGATACAAAAATAACAGATGGTGGTTTGCACATGCAATTAGCGTTCAAAAAAATCTGCTCACCGATTACAAGATCAATGACACGAGATCAGATCCATAAATTCAGGGGTCAAGACAGTGAATCGACCAATGGTAAGGATGTATACTAGAGTATGTTTGTTTATATGCAGTGACCAATGCATGTTGCTTGGTTTTTGTGTCATGGAAAGCCATATCATGCATAAACGATAATAATAATAAACAGATACAACATCATACATTTGGAAATAACTTTCTCGTATTATTGGTATTAGAAAGTATAATGCTGTACATTGAAATGCATGCCATCATGTTGGGATTCAATATTTCGACATTATGCCTTCATCAGGAACACAGCTATAACAGTTTATAAGTCAGAGGTAACATCGTCACTTTCATTTGCACTGAATTTTCCTATCCCCGTCTGATCACCAATTCGATATAGTGCCTCTTAACATATCTCGCTCTACGGTGCTGTTTATACCGAATGAAGCAGAGACCGTCCTAGGCAAAGCCTAGAAAGACTTAACTGAAAACATAAGGCAATGCTGAAATAATTCACAGTAATGTTTACAATACATGTTAATCTATTAAACAAATGTCTACCAGGAGGTTAGGCCTGCCCATCGGCTCAGTGCCACGCCCACTGGCTCCCATTTTGGACGGCCTATTTCATGAGGCAATGCTGAAATAATTCACAGTAATGTTTACAATACATGTTAATCTATTAAACAAATGTCTACCAGGAGGTTAGGCCTACTTAATAACCCCTTATAAACTTCATCAACCACAATCATTTTATTCATTTTGATATCGCAAAGAGCTGAACAAAGAGTGTTAGTACACACAGCTAATGCACATGCACAGTAATTTATGATTATATATAACAACCACTCTACAACTAGCAGTTTGTTTAAAGGGCCATAGTAAAGGTGGTGGACATCACAACTGACCTATAAAGCAATTATCGTCAAGTAATTTCGTACAATATAGGAAAAAGAAGGCGTGTGAGCCATTATTGCCTGTTTTTCAGAAAATAATGGCTCCTTCGCCTTCTATTTTCCTATAGTGTACACTCAAAACTGGACTATAATTGCATAACAGTACTCTATCATAAAATTACTTGTTCATATTTATTTCCTTTCTCCTACCATCTGTTATTTTACTGTCATTATGATCAATAAACTCTTTCTTTTCCTATTTTAGATACCACAGCTACAAATAACAATCAACATTACAGTCAAGAGCAGATAGAAAAAAAACGTCAGCTTGCCATACAGCGACGTAAAGAACGAACTCAACAGGTACTCAAATCTACAAGAAATACTACAAGCTCTAAGCAAATCAGTCGAAGATAACCATTATATTAGCTTTTTTCATAGCTTGATAACTATTATCTTTTATATTTTTTATTTTTTCATATGCAAAATTTGATATACAATTCATACCTATTTTATGCTTTTTTATATTGAATGATTTCTACAGATTATTATCACCTGCAAATATAAACATAATT